TCTTCAGTAACATATCCTATTCATAAGGTGTGATCTCCCCTTAAATGAAATGATGTAATCCGTGTAAAATTCTTAGCACAGTGCCTGACAGCGTGGTAAACGCTTATTACTTGTTATGAAGTTGGGCTGCTATTGAGGTTATAAAGCACGGCAAAAGACAAAGCCCTAAGGATTTGTAGGGACCAGGCTGCTTCTGACACAGCCTATGGCTTTAGGTAGGAAGGCTTCCAGAATCCAGACAGAATCTGAAAGTATTGGTCTTTGAGAAACAGTGGCTGAGTGCAAACCGTTCACTTTAGAATCAAAGTTTAAGTCCCCACAGTAGCTACTTAAGAATCTGGAATAGACACTTGAAAAGGCAAGTGTCCAGAGGCTACGCAGAACAAAGCTTCAACAGCGACACCAGCGGGAAGCAGATCACTGAACTGTGGCACTGGGTCTGCGGCCGCAGGGGCCTTTGCCTATTCCAGAGTGGAGCTGCAGGGCAGGGCGGGAGGGCCGGAGTCTGAGTGTGTGCCTGTGAGTGTCCGTCCTTCTCGAGTAACACAGGCAGGCAGAGGAGCGGGGGCGTTGTTAAATATGCCACTGAGATAGCAGTGAAAGAAGAGTAAATTTATATGCAAGCAACTTGAAACTTCATGTAATAAATTGTTTCTAACATTATAGTGATATCAACAAAAAGCCCTTGATTCTTTAGGGAAAAACTCAGAGCAGCAAGGTGCTGAGGGAAGTTGCTAATAGTTTCTCTGAAACTATGTAAGACCACTTACGGTGGATTTGGAAAAGTGGCCAGAATTATTCATGCTTTCTTAAATCCAAGCCCTTGGCACAATGACTTGGCAGGTTTTTTCTTTAAGAGGAGGGGATTCTTTCCTTACTCCTTTAATCGGAGCTGGTCTGGTGACTTGCTTTGGCCAACAGAATGAGACAAAAGTGATGTTATATTACTTCCTACCTTCAGATTCAGACGCCTCTGCTGGCTTTCTTCAATTTTTGCAATCTCCATGTGAATAACACCAGACCAGCCTTCTGGAAGCTGAGAGATCAAATGGAGCAGAGTTGGTGAGCTGACTTACCCCAGCTGAGGTCTAAGACATGCGAAATTGCCTATACAAGCTCAGCAAAGGCAAACCTTCCAGCTCACCCCCAGCCGACTGCAGCAGGTACATAACTGAGGCTACCCTGGGCCTACCACGCCCACAGTGACTCGATGTCTCCTTAGCTAAATAAATGTTTATTGTTTTAAGATGACACACACCCTCTTATAAGAAAAGCCTCAGAACAGAAAATATTTAAATTCTCTTCACTTCCAGGTTTTCTATGGTTTCCTCTTTCTCCTTACCTGAATGTGATGATTCATTCATTTAATCATCCATTTGTTCAGCAGATTTTTTTTTTTTTATAGTGTAAGGTACTTTGATAGGCTCTTTGGAGGCACATGGCACAGGCTTTAAGAAGACACAGGCCTGATTTACCTGTATCTTTTTATGCCCTGCACCATGGCAGGTTTGGGCAGAAAGGAAATAAATCTGGGCAAATAAGTCACTTACTACATTTGAATGCAGACAACATGGGATCGGTTTATGGCTGTGTGACCTTTGGATAGGCAACCTCTCTAAGTCTTGGCTTCCTCATTTCACAAACAGTAATACTATTCCCTGGCTCTCAGCATGATTGGGAGGGTCAAAGAGATTTGCAGAGTCCTGTGCCCACCACGGGTCAGAGTCACTTTCCACTTCCTGACTTTGATCATTTACATTTCAGGTTGGTGCAGAGCACCATCTTCATTATGTCAGCATCTTCCCAAGGAGGGCGAATGTTTCTGAATTGGGAGATACCTTTGCTTTCAACAGCTCCTCACATAAGGATCCGAGTAGGATATGCCCAGACAGGAATTTGGCATCTTCCCGGCAGCCTGAGAGATTGACTTTTGGGAGGCCGTGAAGGGAAGGTGTGATAGTTAAATTTATGTGTCAACTTGACTGGGCTAAGGGATGCCCAGATAGCTGGTAAACATTATTTCTGGGTGTGTCTGTGACAGAGTTTCCGTAAGAGATTGGCTTTTGAATTAGTAGACTGAGTAACGAAGATTGTTCTCGCCCACATGGGTGCGCACCATCCAATCTGTCGAGGGCCTGAATAGAACAAAAAGGTGCAGGAAGGGCAAATTTGCTCTCTTTGCTTGAGCTGAGACATCCCATCTGCTCCTGCCTTTGATGTCAGTACTCCTGGTTCTTGGGCCTTTGGACTCAGACCAGAACTTATACCATTGGCTCCCCTGTTTCTCAGGCCTTCAGGCTTGAACTGGAACTACACCACTGGCTTTCCTGGGTCTCTAGCTTGCAGATAGCAGATCATGGGACTTAGCTTCCATAATTGCATGAGCTAATCTCTCATAATAAATCTCCTTCTATATATATAGACGTATAGAAAGAGATTTCTTAGTTCTGTGTCTCTGGAGAACCCTGACTAATACAGAAGGGCATGCAGAGATCACTCCGCAAATCAAGACTGGTGTGAGCAGTGATCTCTCCATGGCCTCAGAGCTACAATCAAGTCAGGGTGACTCTTGTTTGGTTCTCGGCCTTGGCTGGGAGCCTGAACTGCAAAGAAGGCCTATGACCCAGGACTGGCATCCTGAGGTTTTGCCCAGGCAGCCTGCCCTGGAACCGTCCACACAGGGAGCCAGGGCCTGAAGACAGTCTGGGAACCAGGAATAAGCAGCAGTAGGTGAACAACAAGGTAAGGGTAAGGCATGAACACCCCCTATGTCATCTTTCTTCCTCCTTCAGAACCCCCTGACTTTGACCAGAATGTGCATGAAACAGAAAGAACACAGGGACCAAAGTTTGAGCTTTGGGGGATGAACCTACTCAGTGACCAGAATCTATGATGCACCCGCCTTGCCAAGGCTTCCTGGAAGCCTGAGTGACCTCAGACCCTGCATTCAGCCCTGAGCTTGGCAGCCCTGGCCCAGGGCCATAGAGAATGGGACCAGCCCAAAGGGCTGAGAGCTGCAGGCCTGGCTGTGGTGCCCTTTTAGGTCAGTTACCACACTGCCCCCCATCGGGGTATTCTGTGATAGAGGGATGGGGACGCCAGATTTTGAGGCGGCAGGAGTTCCTAGGGTATGGGGCAGCGGTGGTGTGAGCACATACCCTATTGGCTTTCATGGCCTTCAGGAAAACACCATTGTACAGAAACATCTCAGGCAGGACTAGCTTGACCTGAATTGAGACCTTATTTGAAAATCAAATCTTCTCCATGTCAGGCAGATGCTCGATAAATGTCTGTGGACCGATGCCTGAATCTCCGTGTGTAGCCGTGGGGGAGTACACATAGCTCTGAGCTGTCTGTGGTTGGGAACCCGAATGTCTGAAGTGTAATCACATGAGAGAGCTGGGGAGAAGGCAAGGATGACAGGACTAGAGGGTCTGATCTGTTACCTTATCAGCTCGAGAAGCCAAAGGGCTAAATCCAGAAATCACAGTCTGCATGTTTGGGCTGACAATGCTGTAACAAGGAGAGAAGGGAAGGAAGAGAGGAGACCAAGAGACACAGTGAGGGGATGGAGAGAAATAGAGATAGAGAGGTGAGGACAGAGACACAGGGATGAGATGAGGAGGCAGCAAGGGACAAAGGGAGATAGACGAGAGGGATAAAACCTGGAGTATTAGCCTGGCGTGTTCATGTATGCCTGTAATACCAGTGACTTGGGAGGCTGAGGCATGAGGATCACTGGAGCCCAGGGGTTTGAGGCTAGCCTGGGCAACATAGCAAGATCCTTTCTCTAAAAAAACAAAACAGCTGAAGTATCAGTGATTCTAAACTAGAAATGAGAAAAACACATTCAGAGACATCTTCAGACATGAATTCTCTGTGCTAGAATTTATCTTCCTATCTGTCTCTCCCATCAGGAGGTAAGTTTTGAAAGCAGGCAGTAGGTTTAAGTTATGTTCACATCCTCAGTGCTTAGCACAGTGCCTGAATGTAGCCACTCAATAGTAAGTTTTTTAAACAAGCCAGGTATGGTGACACACACTTATAGTCCCAGCTACTCGGGAGGCTGAGGCAGGAGGATTGCTTAAAGCTAGGAATTCGAGGCTGCAGTGCGCTATGGTTGGGTCTGTGAATAGCCACCGTACTTGCCTGGGCAAAGTGGCCAGACCCCATCTCTTAAAAAAAAAAAGTTTTTCAAACAAATAACATATTAAGAAAAGGCACAATTTTAAAAGAACGCTAAAGACACAGAAAATAGCAACTATGAGCTTAGACTTAGGAGTCATAGAGAGGTGCAATCAAACCCCAGTTCCATCATTTCCTAACTACAGGACTTTGAACAAGATCGATCCTCTCTAAGTTTACCATACAAAGTTATTGTGAGGATTAAATGTCTGCAAAACTCTTAGCAGGCTGCCTGCATAAGTTCCCATCAATGTTGCTACCATTATTAGTGTTGTCACAGTTGCTGCAGGCAAATAAGCAAGATAGGGACTGTGATAAATGGATTGCATAAACAGCCCCCAATTAATGGCTCCCTGCCCCGTAACTTCATAGTGCCTTTCCTTCTAAGGCTAAGTTTGGCTGTGTGACTTGCTTTGGCCAATGCGACAATGGTAAACCTGATGCAAGGAGAGGTGTGAAAGAGAGACTGCCCATTTATGACTTCTTTCCACTACAGGCTAGCCTGCCGGAAGGAATGGGGCGGACCTGTGGAAGAGGACCAAGGTGTCCCAGCTGAGGCCATCAAACACCAGTCATCCCCCAACCAACCCACCAACTACTACAGGTGTATGAGTGAGCCAGGGAAGACCAGCCAGGCCCAGCCCAGATACCCAGCCAACCTTGAGACTTAGGTGAAATAACAAATGGTTGCTGTTTTAAGCCACCAAGTTAGAGTGAGTTATTACACAGCAGTAGCTAGCTGGTGTGGGAGCCATGGTAGGTCTTGTCCTCTAATACTGAAGCAGCTGATAACAAACGGCAAAGGGCAGAGGCAGTCATGGTCTGCCAGGTTTTATTTGTAGAGTCTGGTGAACTTGAGCCAGAGAAAGCTGCAAAAAGTGGCCTGGAGAGCATGGCAGAGCCCTGCGGAAGGGCTGATAGAAGCAGGTCCCTCTGTCAGACCCTGAGGGAGCCCTTTAGGTGGAGGACAGAGGACACTTGAGGCAGGAGGTGGCCGGGGGCAAGTCCAGGCAGGCAGCAGCAGGGCTGCCGCTGGGAGAGCGGAGGCTCACCCTAACCTGGCCCCTGCAGGCCTCAGGCCCTGGGGTCATATATCCGCCCCATGAACACAGGGAACTCGTGCTGCTGGTCCCAGAGCAGGAAGAGGAACGGCTGTTGCACGTCAAAGACCCGCAAGGTGCGGGCCACGGAGATGGCGGAGGCTGCAGCCGCCTCCACCCCAGTCTCTGTCAGCTCCAGCACTGTCTCGTGCTGCATCGCAGAAACTGCAAGATCCGGGTCCTTCGTCAGCCCACACAGGTTAAGGTCATAAGAAAAGTCGAAGAATTCTAGGGCAAAACCAGAGAAAAACGGAAAGTCAGAGACCAGCACAAAACCCTTAGCTGATGGAGACCTTTGTCCTGAATTTTCTGAGTTTGTGCTGAGTCCCAATACTCTCTTCCTCCTCCTCCCTTGCCAGATTATGTCCTGTGTCTTCTGGTCTAGTGCGTAGGATCCTCTACTAGTGGGCCCAACTGCCACTCCCTCTCAAGAAGAGAGAATCCTTGTCCCCAACCCTAAAAAAAGCCTGAAAAATAATGTCATTGCTTCCTTGCTTACTAGGACCTTGGAAGCAAGGTAACATATCAGAGACAGATTATGTATTATTAAATGAGATTATATAGAAGGCTATTATGCTGTGAAATAATGAGAAATGAATATGTCAGTCTCTGTCCCAATTCCAGAGCTCCTAAAACGCTCGTAATTTCCTGAGCAATGGGGCTGCTAGGAGTATCTTTTGTTCTAATATTTGGTCTTTGATTCCTGTTCCTGACACAGAGCTCTAAAACACTTGTGATTTTCAGAGAGATGGGGTGCTGAGAGCATCTTTTGCTCTAATATTTGGTCTTTTACTCCAGTTCTTGACACAGAGCTCCTAAATCCCGTGGAATTTCCTGGGTGAGAGGAGCACCTTTTGTGCTAATGAGTTGACTTTTGCTGGCTCCTAGATGGGGGCTGGTCACCACAAAGACCAAGCCATGGTTCTACCTTGGAACTTTAAGCCCCAGCCCCCCATCCTCTGGAGAGGGGACAGGAGCTGGAGATTGAGTGAATAATCCATCGTGCTTACAAGATGAAGCCGCCATATAAGTCCCTAAAGTACAGGCTTTTGAGAGCTTCTGGGTTGGTCAACACATACACATGACAAGAGGGTGGCACATCCCCACTCCACAGGACAGAAGCTCCTGCACCCAGCTCCTTTCCAGACTTAGTCCTGTGTATCTCTTCATCTTGCTGTTCATCTGTATCCTTTATCAGATCCTTTATATAATAACCAGTAAATGTAAGTGTTTCCCGGAGTTTTGTCAGCCATTCTAGCAAACAGTCATACCCCAGGAGGGAGTTGTGGGAATCTCTGATTATAGTTGGTCAGAAGCACAGGTCAGAAGCACAGGTGACAACCTGGTCTTGTAACTGATTCTGAAGTGGGGGGCAGCCTTGTGGGACTGAGCTCTTAACCTGTGGGATCTGATGCTATCTTGCGGAGACAGTGTCAGAACTGAATTGAACTGTAGGACACCCAGTTGGTGTCCACGGAAAACTGGACAACTGCTCGGTGTGGAGAAAACACCCCACATATTCGGCGGCCAGAAGTGTTGAATGAAATATAGAGAAAAACAGTCTGTTTTTCCTCTACAGATGCTGTTATACTGGGAAATGAGGTCATGCGTTAGGTGGTCAAGTTCTCTAACAGGACATAAAGTGGCAAAGCTGGACGTGAGGTCGGTGGTTAGGAAATGGAGTCTCTGTTGCCTCTCCTCAACTCAGGAGCCTCCAGACCTTCAGATCCAGATAGCTTCTTGCATATTCCATGGGGTGGTTGACTGTTTCGAAACATCTCTGGGGAAGGACTATCTATAACCATAACCCACCTCGGTCACTTGTCCCACTGCCTACGTCACCGTGAACCACAGTGGAAACCGTCGAGAGAGCTGGAGACTTGGACTGGTATTTTGGTTTGCCTCTAACTAGCCTAAGGGTAAGTCACGGAAACTTTGGGTAAATCATATAAAATTTCCAAGTCTCAGTTTCCTCAATGATCCAATAGGATAATAGCACCTGTCCGTCTAACTCACAGGGTTAAGAACAACCTGAGATTATGGATGTAAAAGAATACTCTAGAGAATGCTGACCACATTTTAGGGGGCCCCCTCTCTTTTTTCTCCTCTGATGGCCTGAGAGTAACCCCATGCTGCTGGATCTCACCCAGTTTCTCCATGATTGACAGCATGTCCTGGCTGGTCTTCACTTTGATGCGGGGCATCATTAGGAGAGTGGGATGGAATTTGGACATCTCTAGCTTCTTCACGATGGCCCTGATGACAGTGGGGCTGAGAGCCTGCTCCACATCTTCAAGACGGTGTTTCCGGGTCTGGGGCACCAGGAGCACCAAGCTCAGGTTATGGGAGAGCTGCAGCTGCCCCACCTAGAGAATAAGAGATGAACCTTATCAGTCTTCCCACCCCAGCTGTCTCCCGGCCTCCATCCTTTGTGTCCCAAGGCTGTCCGGCAGTCTGCTGTGACAGTCTGTACTGCTACAACAAGCAGCAGCCAGACCTAGCCTCCCAGGCTTTGCCACGAAATGGGGACACCCAACTGGGTGAGCAGTGCTGGTCTGCCTCTGTGCTGGTGAGGGGCAGAGGAGGGAGCACGAGTTTCTGATTATGCCCTGACTCTACCACTGACTAGTTACGTAATATGGACAAGTGCTTTGATTTCTCTGAACCCTGTTCCCTCCCTCCCAAGCATGTTGCACAGACAGTATATAACATGCACGATGCACCGCCAGAGTTAACGAGTCAGTCCCTTTCAAGACTATGGATGGCTCTCCTCTACCTATGAGATTAAGTACAAGTTTCTTAGTGTGGCATTGAAGATTGTTCACAAGCTGATCTTAGCTACCCTTCCAGATTGCTGTTATTAACAGAAGGTCTTTCAACTGAAGGCCAGACAAAAGTATGTGAGAAGTGTAGGACCCACAAGTTGAATACAGGGGTTCTCAACTCAGGGTGAATTTGCCAGCGGACATTTGGTAACAATCTAGGGACATTTTGGTTGTCACAGCTGGGAGGCGGGTAGGGAGGATGTGCGCACAGTGCTACCGGCTCCTATTGAGTAGAAGCCAGGAGTAATGCTAAATCCTACAGCGCACAGGACAGCCCCCCACCATAAAGAATTACCTGACCCAAAATGTCAACAGTGCCAAGGCTTAGAAACCCTAATAGGATGTGAGACTATCATTAAATGGCATTATGGTTGGGGTTGAAAGATGAAGAAGAAGAATCTAGAAGAATGCAGAATTCAATTGGACAGTAAAGAACGTTAACTGAAAGCAATCCATTGTCGAAACCCAAAAAAATGGCCCAGAAGAAAGAGGCTGTAAACCAATATCAATGGAAGAGGGTGGACATGGGGTCCCTGTTGACATAGGCCTCAGAAACAAGGTACTTGTCTGGCAGCATGTGCCCTTCAAGTCTGTGTATGGACCTTGAATCTCTGACCATAAATTTACCATACTGTGGTCTTGAATTTTCAAGCCAGTAACCTCAGCATACCTGAGTTGGTAAGTCTAACTCCCTTACTAAGATAAATACTCTTAAGTCCCAGAAAAATTTAGAATTTAGTATGGGAATGACAAAGTAAACTAACTCCATAATATTAACGCCAAGTGTTAAGTTTAGGGTAATCCACGTGTTTGGTATTTAAAATAGTGTATGTAATTTTTAAGAGAATCTGACATGCTGGTTTTATGCTTTTAAGCAAAAAGTTAAAGGATAACTTAATTGTGAGAATGATATTAGAATGTTGGCTAGAAGCTGATTGACTCTTCAAATTTAATTTTTAGTTCACAAATGGGCTTTAGGTGCTAGGGTGATATGGCCAGAGTTACAATTTTGTCCTGTCAGGTATCTGACATGTTTTTTGGTTTTGGTTTAGTTTGGGGGGTTTTTTTAGAGACAGGGTCTTGCTCCGTCTCCCAGGCTGGAGTGTAGTAGTGCAATCATAGCTCACTGTAACCTTGAATCCCTGGGCTCAAGGGATCCTCCTGCCTCAGCCTTCCAAGTAGTTAGGACTACAGGCACACACCACCATGCCTGCCTAATTTTTTAATTTTTTTGTAGAGACGAGGTCCCACTTAGGTTGCCCAGTCAGGTCTCAAACTCCTGGCCACAAGTGATCCTCCCACCTTGGCCTCCCAAAGTGCTGGGATTACAGGCATGAGCCACCACACCTGGCCTTTATCATGTTTAAAAAGAAAATCAAGTATGTTAAATTTATAAAGGGAGCTTGAAATGCTTATGGGAATATTAACTATGTTTGTAAATAGGACAAACGATTTAAAGGAGTTTGATCTGTTCAATATGGCTTAATTAATTAAAGAACAAATGAAAGTTAGCTTAGTGTTTTTATATAAGAATTACTCTATTATAAATAATGTAGCAAGTTCAGCTTAAAATTAAAAGGACTAAGTAAAACTTTGATTTTACATTTATAATGTTAATACATTAAATTAAATATCTGTTTGAATCACAAGGAATTGTAAATAATGGTTTTTGTGTACAAAACTCTTCCTCCTTCTCTGGCATTAAAAAAAAACTATGTCGATACCTCCCCCATATATCCTGCGTCAGAGTGATGCCCTGAACGTGTCACATATATTCACTCTTCTGTGCCTTATACATGCTCTTCTGGTTCTGTTAAACGAGTCATGACTGGTCAGATACATTGGAAGGGATGGATGGATGGGTGGATAAAAGTGCATGAGTGGATAAATAAATGAGCAAAGCATGGTTAAAGTAACCTCCGTGAAGTCTTCTAGCCACTCACACCAGGTGAGCAGCTCCACTTGGCACCCTCTATTTCGTGCGTTCATTTATTCAGCAAACACTGAATGAGCACCTATTATACATGACGTTGTTCTGGGCGCTGCAGATGTAGAAGGAACAAGACAGGTTCCTTATCCTGAGAGACCATATCTCAGGGAGATAGACAATACTGTCATCAAATAAGCAAATAAATGGCAATTTCAGATGATGATGAATACCACGAATATAATAAAATAAGGCAACGGTACAAGGTGAGGAGGAAGTGACCTTAAGGGGGAGAAGGACTCTCCACCAAGGTAACCTTTGAGCTGACACCCACATGACCAGAAGGAACAAGCTATGTGAAGATCTGAGTCAAGAAGGATCCAGGCAGAGGAAAAAGCTAAGGAGAGCTCCCAGGGTGGAAACAAGCCTGGCACGTTCCAGGACAGTGGGTGTCTCCCCTTGTTTTCCATCTCACAGGTCTGTCTCTTGCTGTCCTAACAAAGCAGAACTATCGGGTCACTGGGCACAAAATAGTTTACTAATTAGAATACTCTGGGCTCCCTATTCTATGTGCCCTCCCTCTCTACTCATTCAAATTGTATTTGTTCAATTTCTCCTAAGGAATGTAAGCCATTTAACATGTGTGCAACTCATGCACTTATCACATGTATGCATATACACGGATATACCTGCACACATGTACACATGTATATGCATGCTGTACACAGGTACACACAAACACACAGGACTTGCTAAGCTGCCAGGGCCTCCTGGTGGGTTTACAAGAAAGAGAAACAGAAGCACAGAATAGGAACACGACTCACTTTTTGCCATTTGATGCAGTAGAGATGCATGAAGAAACTTTAGAACCCTGTCTTCCAGCCTGAAACACACAAGGCCTGCCTCGGCCAAGGCTGGAGAAAGGAGGAGGAGAAGAGAGACAGGGTGGAAATACAGATAGGAGGAGTAGAAACGATGAATGCATAAGAGTTTTTCCCAAAATGATGGGACCATAGCAGGAAAGAAATTAGGAGACTCAAGTGGGTCTGAAATAGGAGTGGGAAGTGCCAAGAACTTACCTTGGCCTTCAAAGTTGGGTCAATGAAATGGGCCACAGGGTACTTCTTGCTAGTCATCATGGGCACTTTTATAACAGAGTCACGGAAGTAAAAGGGCTCCACCCTGGTTTTATCGCGAGAAAATGCTGTCTTCCACTTGGCTGGAAGGGAGAAGGGGGAGAGGATTGCTCTAAAGCAGGTAGAGAAAGGACGAAGAGGAGTTAAAAGCCCTGTTAGCAAGGGGAGCACAGATATACTGGGATCTGGTAGTGGAACTCGGGGCTGGGTGGGCTTCGAAGCCAGGAGGGAAGGAAGAACCCAGAATGGGAAGACCACATAGTCAAGGGCCCCCTTACCACTCAGATAGATAGCATTGAGGAGCACAAGGCGGGTGTCAGAAGGCAGGCTGTCTAGCAGGTGCTTGATCCTGTGGTTGGTGTTCTCAGCCACCCAGGTGTTGATGAGCTCCAAGTTGGCATCACTGCTATTGCCCAGGACTCTGGGGCTGCTGCCATACAGGCTCTGAGAGGCATTCACAAAGGTGTCCCTTATGGCCAGGTCTGGGGGGTAGGTTGAGAGAGGGAGGCATGAGTTCCCTGAACAGCTCATCCCCTTCCACGAGCAAGCGCTGAGAGTGAGCACGCCTCCCATGGCTCTTTCTGCTCACTCTGCTGAACACGGCATGTCGGAGCAAGGGGCCAGTCCACTCCTCTTATAGATGTGGCACAGGAGGCCCAAAAAAGGCAAACCCCGAGCTAAGAGCCAGTTAACTAGTCCTAGGCTCTTGCTGCCTTTGCTTGCCACGTGGCCATGGGTTGGCAAGACAACTCTTCTGCGATATTTTAACTTCCATTTGCCTGTAGTGTCCCTCTTTCTTCCCTTAATTCATCAGGGAACAGACTCTGAAGCTTGTGACAAAACTTCCTGGTTTTTTTCTCTCCAAGGGACTTCAGTCCCCTAAGAAAATAGTATTTGAAAGAAAAATCTGTCCTGTACTAGATAGATTAAAGATACTTCCCCAGGCTTTGCTGATGCTTAGGTACAGCATGAGATCAAGAACCCTGGCACAACCCCAGGGTAGGCCTGAGAGGGGGACAAAGGCCCTAGTACATTGAATACAAGTCGTATTTTCCACCAGTCTAGTAAGGCAGAGGATAAAGCGGCCTTACGGCTTTATACGTAATAAGTAAATGCAACATTTCTTGAGCACCTCCAAGCTATATTTTCCCTATATCTAAAAAGAGAGTGTTTCTTAGATGATGGGACAATAGGTGATTTTTCTTGCTTTTTTCTT